AGCTGCCTGTTAACACTCCTCGCCCTTGACTCAGGAGGACCTAGGCCTTGGTAGGCAGACAGATTCCTGTGGATTGCCTACCAAGGCCTGTGGTACTCCTGTATCCTGCCTTCCGTTTTCTTATAAATTACTGGCTATACTCTGTAATATGTTGATTAGGTTTCTTGTGTGACTTCTCTAAGCATGTTTTCTATGTTATTACCATTCCTAGCCTAGTGTTGTCTACTTTTACACAAGTCTAATGGTAGAAAAGTAAACATGGACTTCAGATTATAAAAGATAAATGGTTCATACTCAAAGGCCATGGTTGCTATTAAACATTTTGGTATCACCAAATAGAATACCAAAAGTTGACAAAAATATGAAAGGAAATTGTCAAAATCCCTATCTTGATGGGGGATTCTAATACTTCGACCTTGCTGTGTAAAGGATGCCAAAACATCAGTACTGATAAAATAGACTTAAGTAGCACAGTTAACAAGCTCAATCTAATGGCTCAATCTAATACAACAACTAAGAATACTTTTTATTTATTTCCACATACTCATGCAAGAGCTAAACACACACACAGACACATAGAGGGCAACATATTTTGGAATATATGAAAGGTAGTTTCCGTTATTTCAGGAGATTAGTATCTTGCAAGTTCTGTTATCTAACCTAATGTAGTAAGTATAGAACTTATTTGGAAAAAGTAAAACTTCATTTATAAATTCTAAAAACACACCTGTAAACATCTAAACAATGAGAAAAATTATATAAATTTGTGGGACACTGTACTCAAAGTGGTCTTAGGGAAAATGTATAGCCTGGAACACTTACAATGCTGAGCTTGAATGCTTACAACAAAAGGCTTGAAATTAATGAGCCGTGAATTCAAGTTAAAAATGTAGAACAACAGCAGAATTAACATGGTTGAATTAGGATGAAGTAACAAAGAGTTTAATGAAATAGAAAACAAGCATGCAATGGAGAAGATCATCAACATCGAGCAACAGTAACTTGAAAAGAATAAAAGGCCTATATCAAAGTTAGACATGTAAAACCAATATTAGGAGTGAAAGAGATATACAACCACAGATGCCATAGACGTAAAAGATAAGAGGTATTTTGTGACTTTGTGCAAATACTTTTGAAAAACTTAGATGAAATTAGTATTTTTCTAGTATTATACCAAAATCGGTTCACATTGAAAACCAGAGTAGGGCGGGGGATGGGGGTGAATGGGTGACAGGCACTGAGGGGGGCACTGACGGGATGAGCACTCGGTGTTATTCTATATGTTGGTAAATTGAACACCAATAAAAAATAAATTTATTTAAAAAAAAGAGTAGTTTTATAACTATAACCAGTGAAGAAATAGAATCAGTAGCAATCTTCCCATGAAGAAACACTGGGCCCAAACAGCTTAATGGATAAATTCCAAGAACAGATCATTCTCATTTTTAAAAAACTCTTCCAGATAATAAAAATGTGGCACTGTTTAACTCATTCAATAAGGCTACATAACAAAAATAGGACAATACAGGAATGTAAATCCATACACACACACAAGTAAATCTGCAGGCCAGTCTCAATCAGGAATATTGATACAGCGTGCAAACTACAGCAGCCTAAGTCTGTGGGGTTTTTTGTTTGTTTGTTTTTTTAGGAAGGAAATTAGGCTTATCTCTGAAAAGCAAGAAAATGGATTAGTATAAACCACTGCAATTACTGATCATCTCGGTAAGCATAGGAAAAAAGTTTAGTAGAGCATTCAATTCTGGATTACAGATAGGTGGGCTGTGTCTATGATTTGATGTATATTCCTATGATATATAGGATATCTATGATATATCTAAGACCGTCCTTAAAATGTACCTCCATCTGTGATAGGAAATCTAGGACATAACTGATATACCATGATATAGCATGATATGTATCACATATCTGACGTGTGTTTAAAACACAGATTTTCATTTATTTGTGGATATTTAATGAACTAAGAAGAGCATTTCCTTTCCCTATTAAAGACCAACTCTAAGACACCTGGAGCAGTGGTTGTCTGTAGAGGTAAAATGCTAAAAAAAAAAAAAAAATCCACTTAAAAAAATGAATTTAAGACCATTATTAATATAGAACCCAGGATCCTAGCACCCTGGTGGTAGTGCAGTCTTGGGATGAGAGGAAGACATTACCAGGGCAGGTCACAAAGATGACTCTTCTCATGTGCTGGCATATTCTCCATCTTAACCTCAGTAGTGGGAATGCTGATTTTTATTCCTTAATTGAGCATCTTATTTTTAGGCACTTAATGTATAATTTACATAATAAAGTGTTTCTAATGAGTCAGTGAGAGATGGCTAGTGAATGAAGATTGGAGATATAAGCGTGGAAAACTATTCCTTTCTTCCAGTGTCTTTGGTTGCTCTTATAATTGATATAAGACAGATTAACAGGAGAAAAACAAATTTAAATTTATATGAAATATGAGTGTCAAAGAAATGACCAAAGCAGACAGCTTTTATATTTCTTAGACAAACTATACATTTGTGAAGAATCGACAAAGAAGTTTGGACCTTGGGGTTATTAGTAAGTAAAGCAGTGACAAGATTTGTCCCTATTTCTGGTAATAAGGATGTTTCCTACCTTCCAGTATGGGTGGCCGGGAGGGTACCTTTCCTGTGGGAAACGGATTTCCTGCTTTTCAGGGGCACTAAAGAAGGGTGAGAGTACCTTGTTGCACCTGCCTTATCTTAAGTAACTTTAATCCAAGATAATGTACCAAGATGGCGTATATTGGAATAGCCTGCCCTGAACCATCCAAGAAGAGTTGTTGAAGATGTGTGTTCATGAAGGATCAGAGGGGTCGAAGGCAGTTTTCTATGAGTTCACCGCCTCACGAGTGAGCACAGTTCTTCTCAAGTGCACTGTTGTTTGTCTCATTCAGACAGCAGTGCCTCTGCCTTCACACACCATCCGTGCTCAGGGGCCACGCTAATCTTGTCTGTATTAGTGTATGTGCTGCTGCGGCGAGCACACATTTCCCTTCTTGTAAAGTGGAGGGGAGATGGGGGTGGAGGATGAAACTCGCCAAGTCCCCAGTGACAGCTAATGTGGTCATCAGTATTTTTCTCTTTGGAGAACCATGTATTGTTGTAGATGGGGAATTACGAACAATCGTAGAAAGCAGTATAAGGGCTTTGGAGGGATTTTTGACATTACAGGGGGGAAAAAAAACCCGAATGAATTTTTACAAAGAGAATTAGTTTAAAAGATAAGCGAATTCTACGTGAACCTATTTGGCTGTGTACATAGCTACTGTAGATCGTTGATTTGATTTTTTAAAATATTTTATTTATTCATGAGAGACAGAGAGAGGCAGAGACCCAGGCAGAGGAAGAAGCAGGCTCCATGTAGGGAGCCCGATGTGGGACTTGATCCCAGGTATCTAGGACCACGCCCTGGGCCGAAGGCGGCGTTACACCACTGAGCCACCCGGGCTGCCCTGAGATCTTTGATTTTAGTTGTAAGAAAATGTCTCAAAGGATTAGTTTTCCAAATTTAATCCTATGACACCAAATAAAGATGATGTGTCATGGGAATCTACTCCAGAGTTGTCATCTGGACGGCCTTGACCATTCAAGGCTGAAGATCCCACACATTAAGTTGAGAATTTTTCTCCCTTATTTTGGTTCTGAATCCATTTCATTGTTAGTCTTATTTTAGCTCTACTTTATCTCAGCAATCTTAATTCTAGGAAATGGCAAAAATTATTTGCTAACCACTTTCTACAAGTCTAAAATAAAAATTAAGCTGCTTTTCCATCCTAATTGAATCTCTCTTCCCTCTGGCGTATGACTTTAATTTCAGGGGAACAGATTGCATCCGGATACTAGTTTCTTTGGTCATTGAAATAGCCTCTGCTTTACTATACACACACTATGGTGTTACCACTGCTGTGGTAGGAGAGGAAGACCTCACAGTTACTCAGTTTTTATTAGACTTTCTCCATTTTTTTTTCATTTCCCAAGCTTTCTGAATATGGTTTATAAGACAAAGTTTAGATAATCCCTTCCAAAGGATAAGTTTGGGTTTTTTTAAAAACAATTTAAGAAAATCAGTATTTATATATGGCGAGTTATTTGTAGCAGGAATCCCTATTTTGTTAAATCTCACTTTCGTGTGTTTTTCTCAAAGGCATTTTCTTCCTGCTGTGCTGCATCTCATGCCTGTGATCTCAGAGTTATGAGAAATATTGATAATATTCTTTAATATCAAGTGTGCACCAGTTGAGTTTGTAAATATGCTGGGATGAATTGGTGTGTGGTAAAGCTGAGATGCTACTAATTAAGAGATAAGCCAAGAAAAATGTTATTTTGTTATAATGATTTGAAAAGCCAGATGTCGACAGACTTACTGCATTCCTAGGAGAGTGTATTGGGAAATTAACTGCAAAACGTTCATATTTGTATAATGATTATTTCTTTCCTTTTGACTGAAGCTTTAAAAAAATCATATAAAGTAATAGACTTGAGATAATTACCTCCACTTTTAAAAATATAAAACATCTAGTAAAGACTTTCCAAGAAGTGATGGGAAAGTGTTTAGCATCCAAAAAAAAAAAGTTTCCTGTAAAGCTATCTCCTATAAACAAAGTTTTAGCGATTTCCCTCTAGGCATCTGTAAAAATGGAGTTATATTTTGTATTTGAATAAATAATAGGTTTCAGTGGCTACATATAGAAGGCTTTACCTTAACCTAAATTCTCATTTATATACTCTAACGTGCTCATTTTTAGAACAGCTTTGGAATTATTACAAGCTGTAAAACTTACTGTTGTTTCTCCTCTTGACTGTGCCATCTGTCAGAAACAAAAGCGAAGTTGAAAATCTCATTGAGCCACCAAAGATTCTGTGTTGCTTCATGAGCCTCCTAAGGAGGAGATACACCTGTCTGTAAAAAAAAAAAAAAAAAATTAATGCTGCATTTTAAAGAAAATCTTTGTTACTTCATTACAGATGGGGAACTCAAGGTGATTTCACCACCACTCATCCTCGGCCTGTGGTCAAAGTAAAACTCTTCACAGAAAGCACTGGGGTCCTGGCCCTTGAAGATAAAGAACTGGGAAGGGTGAGTCCTGCTCCGTGCTGTGTGTTTGAGGTCACATGATTTTTACTTCTTTCAATTCACAGTTAATGTGGCCCAGTATGTAGTGTGTAAACTTTCTGTTTATAAACTACATAAAATAATTTATTTGTGATCTGTAAAATAATTTGTCATCTTCCACGAGCCCAGATTACAGCTCCTATTTATTAGATGTAATTGTCAATAACGTGGAAAGCATTGTGATAGGCTTTGGGTACGTAAGGGTCATTTACAGGATCACAGTCCGGGGCCCATGTGAATGGTAGACACCAACTTGTGTGTCCTTCCTGGTGAGAGATCAATCTCACTTAAACATTTCTGTCCGTGAGTTAAAAGCGGCATCATGATATTTGAAGTCCTTAGTTTAAGTCCTTTGTGATTAGACAGATAACAGAATATCTAAATCTGCTTCTCTCCCACTTTGCCTGTGAGAAGGTCTTTTTCACGCATCTTGTAACATTGATTTTTTTTTCCTGCACTTTGTACCTAGAATATACTTATTCTCTAATTCCAGTATCTCTCTACTATACTCAGCTTATTCTGGGAGTTTTAAAAGCATTAAGATTCGGGTAGATTTGTGATCTTAGCACCTCTCTATGTGGAAGGTTTTCCGCAGTCTCATCTATGAAGTAGACGTGCTCTGGTCGGGGGGCTGTAGGGTCCTCTTCTGTAACATGGTCTCTCTCACACAGGCCTGAAGGCTGACTTCATAGGTGTTTGCCAGAGATTAAAGCCTGCAGAAATCTCACCTGAAAATCTCTGGTGATGATGATTGACAGCTTGTGTGATGCTGGATGTTCAAGGATGCTTGGATCGTTGGGTATATTGGAGTTTTTTCCCTCAAAGTTGGGATTTTTATCCATTTCCAATCTTTCTCCTCTTCTGTCTCCTTTAGAGTTTTTCCATTTCTAGGGATTTTAGGAGTCTGTCCCCACACTCCAGAAATTGAGGATCAGCATTCCCACATTCTGGTTTTTGTCTTCTGTTTCCTTTTTAGCATGTATTTGTTAAAACCTAGACCTAAGCCATACCATACATTCATGTGCTTGCGTGTCTGCGCACTTACTCATTGAACAAACGTGTACAGGTGTCATGATCTCACACAAGAGCCCTGGAAACTACAGATGGTCTTACGGATTTATGAATCAGGATTTTTCATTTAAACTATTACATTAATTTTACCCTATGTCCTTACTATAACTATTTTTCACTAATAGCAGCCATTTTAAGTCTAATGCTATACTGTAATTCTTTAGATATTTTTAATCCATTTCTCTGCTGAATTTTAATTCATTTCTTAAACATATATATGTTTAAGCAGTTTCTAAATTGAGTATGCGATTGGTGTGTTTTCCAGTCAGTTGTATGTCTGAGAAGGGCCTAGTGTTCCTCACTCCCTTCATACAAGACCACTGTTGTTTCTGTACCAGTTTCTGAACCCCACACTATTGGTATTTTGAGCAGGAAAATGCTTTGTAGTCAGAAACTTCTCTATACACTTTCTGTTTAGCAGCATCCCTACCTCCAGTCAGATGCCAGTAGTTCACCCAGCCTTATGTCAGGACGCTCAGCAGTGTCTCTAAACACTGCTAACTGTCCCCTGGGAGGTGTGCGGAATCACCTACTTAGAGATCCATTGAACTATACTAATGATCTGAGTAGGTTCCATGATTATAATTATCATATATGTGTTATTGACTTCCAATTTTTAAGATTTTCTTACTTGGAGCTTCAGTTTATATATCCAGCCTGCATACTTGGTATTTCTAGTTGCATTTAACAGTTGTCTCAAACCAAATATTTCTAAAATACAACTCATGATTAGCACCCCTGTTGAATCTTGCACAGAGGCAGTTTTCAAGCCAGTGACCTTGGCATATCCTTTGTTGCTCCTTCCTTCACCTTAATACTCTTCTATTTGCAAGTTCTGTGAGCTTTCCCTAAATTTATTATGAGTATACCCACATGTTCATATCCCCTCTACCCTAATTCAGACACCATTCTTCCTTGCGGTAATAGTGTCCTTACTACTTTCCCATTTATCTTCTTGTCCCCTCTGATCTAGCTTTCACACTTCAGCTATTATGCTCTATTTAAAATTTAAAACAAATCACCTCATTCTGCCCTTTAAAAGTCTTCCAGTGTCTTCTCATTTATTTGGAATAAAAATAAGATTCCTTATCATAGTGTGGCAGGCCCAGGAACAGTTTTCAGGGTGGCACCCTGGGTCAGCAAAATCAGCAGGTTGTTAGAAATGCAGATTCTCAGGCCACTAGCTTCCTAGACCAGGAACTCTCTGAAGGTGTTGTGCTGCAGCCTGTGTAATGGGGCCTCCTGGTAGTTTCCACACACACCAACATCGAAGCCACCTGCTCCCCAGGAGCTGACCTCTTTCTCTAATTTCATCTCTTATGACAGCCCCCTTGCTTACTGTATCATCCTTCCTTCACATTCGGCTTTCTTCTGTTCCTCACACATACCTGATGCAGTTCTGCTTTAGACTTTGGGCCTTTGGATGTGAGCCCATGCATGTACAGACACAGGAGAATTGGTGATTGTCTCTGGGTCGTAGAACTATTACTAATGTTTTGCTATATATTTATCTGCTTTTATACTGAGAAGCAGGAATAGGTTTTTTAAAAAGATTTTATTTATTTGAGAGAGAGATACAGAGATAGCAACAGAGAGCACAAGCAGGGGAGGCCAACACAGGGCTCAATCCCAGGACGTCAGGATCATGACCCGAGTCGAAGGGGCTGACATCTAACTGACTGAGCCATGCAGGCGCCCTGCAGGAAGAATTTTTTGGGTTTTTTTGTTTTTTTTAATTTGAAGGAAAAGGTCTTACATGATCTGAAATTTACAATCTAAAATTTTATGAATAGATATCTGGATATCTTAGTTTTAGAGTGAAGTTTTCTAATTAAAATGTTGCATATCAGTGAATTTAAAGATGAGCCACATGGTTGTTGAAATAGATTTATACCACAAGGGAGATAACCACAACTGCATAGCTGGTAAAATGGCTAAAGTACAAGAATGCTGAAAATAACAAACGTTGACAAGGATACAAAACAACAGAACCTTAATCTTTGCTGGTAGAAGTACAAAAAACAGTATAGCCACTTTGGGAATACAACCTGCCAGGTTGTTTTTTCTTTTATTTTTTAAGTGAAACAGGCATGCCATATCACCCAGCAGTTGCCCTCTTAGGTATTTACCCAAGGGTTTATTGGTAAATAAATATCTGTATGGGAATGTTTATAACAGCTTTCTTCATAATCACTAAAAAAACTGGAAGCAGTAAGGTGTCCTTGAGCAGAGGAATGGATAAGCAAACTGGTACATCTACAAAATTCTATTCAGTGCTAAAAAGAAATAAATTATTAATTAAGCTTAAATGCAAGGGAAAGAAATCAGGCCCTTCGCCCCATTGAATCCTTTTTGAGAATGGTAGTAACACTGCATGTTGAGACAGAAAAGTAAGAATCTGATTAAGAGCACTCAACAAGTGTGGGAGTCCGTATTGGAACCAGGTGTTCTGACAGCAACACCTGTGTTCTACATCATTAAATAGTACACCTGATGAGGTGAAGAAGTGTGGCAGTCTTTTACAAATTACCCTCTGAGTGTGGGCCAGTTGAATTTCATGGCTTAAAGTGGGAACCAGCTTTTATTTAAGCTAATGTCATTTTATGCATAGGTCATGAATACATTTCATATCACTTTAGGCCATGATTTGCATCCTATAACAGTACTTCTGGCTATGCTTTTATATGTGACAGTGCTTCTCACCTCTTGTGCACATCAGAACCCCTTTAGGGAGAGAGTGCAGGAAAAGATTCAAGCTGTGAACTCATACTTTTGTTTTGGTCGGTTTGAGGTGAGTCCAGACCTCTCAGGAGATAGGATGTGTGTATAAGGTTGAGAAGCACTGGCACAAATAGTACCACTGAACAGCCAAGGTTGAGAACTAGTAAGTCATAGGGGTAAGAAAACAATCTGAATAGCATATAGTTTTGTAAAATGGCGGTTCAGAGGTAGGCATTGGGCAGTTGAAAGTTATGTTCTTTGGCAAGTGCTTGGCGGCAGATTTTGTTTGTAGATGGCAGGTGCAAATACCTATTTATGGAAATGCAGGTGGCATATGGAGATTTTCCATCCGAATGAGTGGCCAGCCCTCCACCAGGGGCCTTGGGAATACCTGGAGGCAGAACAGGAAATGTTCCATGTTAGGGGCTTGTCCTCGCAGGCAGATAGTTGACCAGTCCAGCCCCGAAAGCATACAGTTCATCAGTGACATCGTAATAGTGCTGAATGGTGACAGATGGTAGCTATGCTTATGGTGAGCGCAGCATAAGGTGTCAGCTTGTCAAATCACTATGTTTGTACACCTAAAACCAATGCAACATTATGTGTCAACATGCCCAAATAAAAACAAAATTTTCAAGATGATTTTGTCCCAACAACTTTAAAAGCAGAGCTTGCTTCACCTAACCATGTAAAAAATCTACATACGTCACACAGCCTTTATCTGCAGACAGCAGTTTCCATCGAGTCCATCAGAATGAATTCTTGCACTTAGTAACTTTTAAACTTGCTGAATGGTATTCTTAAGTGCAAAATGAATTTTTATTATTTTTTTATTTTTTTCATTTATTTTGAGAAAGAAAGAACATGGGCAGAGGGAGAGAGAGGATCCTCAAGGCAACTCCCCGTGGACCCCGACCCGGGGCTCAATCCCAGGACACTGAGATCATGCCATGAGCCTAAACTGAGAGCCAGATGCTTAACCAATGGAGCCATCCAGATGCCCCCAAAATAAATATCTAAAGTTTCTACCCATGTGACTTTTTAAGTTTTAGAAGCATTGCTGTAAAGACACTCTAACCATTGTTAGGAAAAGAGCCTGCTGTCTATTCATACACTTGGAGTCGATGGCCCTGGGACCACATCGTGAGTGTCCACAGAGGGCTGCTGGTTCT